TACAAATAATCAGACTCGCCAAAATTCAAGTATAAATACACTAATAAAACAACACAAACCAACTATCAATATTTTACATACACAAACAGATAAAAAAGCTGGTCAATTAAAGCAATAAGAATTGCAGAAAAGAAACCTTTTTTCATTTTCTTTTGTTAATCATCTCACCCTAAGGAAGGAGATAATGTCACTACGACGTAAGGGGGTAAAGAGAGTGAACGAGAATGGGAAGACTTCGTTCAAAATTATTTGTTCGCTGATGTAGATTTTATTGAAATAAAAATTGAATTTTTACTGATGAAGTCGACTATCTACGAAACATGTCAAAACAAAAGTTTAACTATGAAGTAATGATGCTAGAGCTGTGACATCTTGCATGGATTAATTCCAAATATTCTCATTAATAACTGCTTTATTTTCTCTCGCGCGCTTCTTGTCTATGTAACTTTCTTCAGGCCTTCTTACTTTCCAGTCAATTTTGACTCTCCTAAAATTTAATTGCAATACCAATCGTCATCTTCTGTCTTCTTAATTCATGTTTTTTACTGTCCTTTCTCCTTAATAATGTTTTGTTTCTGAGACTCTTCCACTCACATTAACTCCCTTACTTGTTATTGGCTTTATCGCCTTGTTTTGGAGTGAAATGATATATCTATATCTATATCTATATCTATATCTATATATATATATATATATATATATATATATATATATATATATATATATATTGGGGCAAAATGGAAAGAATTTAATTAGACGCGTTTCGTCCTGCAGGACTTAATCGAGTAAATTTGTTATGTTGGTACGACTGAGCATGTAGTAGATTATATATATATATATATATATATATATATATATGTGTGTGTGTGTGTGTGTGTGTGTGTGTGTGTGTGTGTGTGTTCTGTTTTTGTTTTTATTAGTTACTTTGTTCAATTTATTTCATTTTCATATTTTGCTTTGATAAAGTTCACATTGGACGAAACGCGTCAGCAATTACCAGTTTTCCTATTGTCATTTTTATTCATAAATATATATATATATATATATATATATATATATATATATATATATATATATAGATAGATAGATAGATAGATAAATAGATAGATAGATTACAGCAAAAAATCCAAAACTACCTCATTTTGTATTTTTGCTGAAAATATGGTCTGTTATAATAAATACATTGAGCTCTCTGTGGATCAGTTTTAATATTTGATATTACTAGGATCTATCTGGATTATATACCAACGGATCTATTAGCTGTACTATATATATATATATATATATATATATATATATATATATATATATATATATATATATATATAAGGGGTGTTGTTGTCATGAGAGTATAAAACCGTTATACAACATGGAGAATTTATTCTACTCTTATCACTAGGTGATCTTGACCGACTACTAATATCTCATAAGCAAAGCGAGGAGACATTTGCTAAATAATATTGATACTGTAAAGTTCTTTCATTCTGTATAAATATGTATTTGACATTGGCGAATTTCCGAGATTTTCAGGTTTTGCTGGTATTTATTATTGGCAGGCGCAGTTTTCACAAACATAAAATACGCAGATGACATAGTGTTGATGAGAGAAACAGAATTGAAACTGCAGGAACACCTAGAAATTGTAGTAAAGGAAAACTGAAAGAAAAGACAAACCAACAGTTACAAAAAGACAATGAATGGTCGTTAACAAGAGGAACAGTCTAAGATGCGTGCTATGAATTGCAGATGACAAAATCAAGCATGGAGAGAAATGTCAACATCTGGGAAGTGTTTAAACAGAAGACAGAAAATCTAATATAGAAATCCGAAGGTACATTGGAATAGCGAAAAATGCCTTTCAGAAGCTAAACGGAGTATTAAGAAATGAAAAAATCGTTAGATACAAAGAAAAAAGTGCAGAACTGTTATGCAATATCAGTCTTTCTATATGACAGTAAATGATTGACAATTTCTTCACAGGAGAAGAGAAGACTTGAAGTAAGAGAAATGTGATTCTACAGAAGGATACTGAGAATACCATAGACGGATCATGTGAGAAACGAAGAAATCTTAAGGGAAATGAGAACGAAAACGATACTTAGAATTAGACACATAATGAAGAAAGAGGGCATGGAGAATTTAACACCCACAGGACATCTTGAACTCAAGAGGGAAGTAACCTATATAATAAATATGTATAAATGGGTGGCAGAACAGGGAGTGGAAGAGATAGTAAAAAGACAAACATTGATAAGTGCTAGAATGTTGTGGGGATCTCCAACGGCCTGAAGAGAGACGGCATACAAAAAGAAGGATTTAGCACTGATTAGGCTTAATGACCAGTTTGAAATAGAAATTACATTTTTCATCTAGTCTGGGATAATTACTTACTTTGCACGGGACAGGAAAAATCTTTAATAAAAGAAATGATGTCTTTCTCTTAGTGTTCGAATAAACTTTGAAATTTGATTTTTTCTTAATTTAAGACAGGATTTCTTAAAATCTCCATTTATTCAAAAGTACATGGCAAATTCACTTTCCGATATAAAACCAAGAAACCCCCTTTTATTTATGGCATCCGGTGGTCTAAAATAAAACTAGTAAATTTAGAAACTAATTATTTAACTACCACTCAAATGGTCAAATACACCCAAGCTAACGTACATATGCTCTCCTCTTCCTTCCTTTTTTCTCTTACATGAAAAGTTTACATTGCTAAGTCCATGTTTAATGTCCGTCTTTTAAATCCTTTCTTTAATGCAAACATTCGCGACTCCGTCATTTGCAGAATAATTGAAAGACCTTAAAAGTATCTTTAAATTTTGCTCGGTCCTTTATCGCTTATGCAATCAGCCAACTGTAGCTTGTATATACAAGCCTTAAAAAATTCAAATGCAAGAGAAACGGCTTCCACATAAACTCACAGAAACGAAAATCTATCAAAAATTAAATGCTTGTCTTTCCCTTCTTGCTCGACACAGAAAAAATATTTTTGACGAAAAATGAATTGAGGCTAGATTCAGAAAAACATGCACCTGAACCTAAACTGAATATAATGATAGGACTTCTCTGCGTTTAGTAGATTTTAAAAGAAATTCTTTATTGCAAATTATCGGGACGTTAAGCATACTACTATATTATTCTTCAGTGAGCAACTGGCTTCCTTGAATGACGCATTTGAGCAGAAAAAACAAGGTCTGTCTTCAAGTTGAAAATTCGACATAGTAAGCGACCAAAGAGCTGGAATTGAAATTTCTTCTACGTACAGAGTGTATTCTCCAAAACTGTTATCTTTCGATTATCATTTCTTTCAATCCATCCAACATCCATTTTCGACGGCAGTTCTAATATGTTCAAAATTTCCAAAGATTTTTCAAAGGATTAATCGAATTAAAACCATTCACATATGATGGAATACACAAGCTATCTGAAAGGTGTTGTAAGGACAGAAATTCATGGATAATATTTTTTATGATTGAATATCGATGCTACGACTTGTTATAAATAAAGTTTATAGCTTGCTTAGTTTCTAGAATTTCCTCTTTTGTCAAAATATATTCTTTGCTCTTCATTGCTGACACATCAGTTGTTGTTTTTTTTTAATTTTTAGAACTAGAGCATTGTAACATTTTGAATGTATTTTCGATTTCAAATTACATAAGCTTTATTATTATTATTATCATTATAATGTTGTTGTTGTTGTTGTTTGTCCTTTCCTATCCCATTAAGTAGTCAATTGTTAGCAAAGGATAATTGTCAACACATTTTCGCCGCTTAAATTGAAAACGCACGAATTTAAGATTTAATTTTGTCTTTGATTTTAAGGCGGACAATAGGGTTGTCTTCCAATGGCAATTCTTCGATATCCCTTTGCAAAGAATAAACAATGTTATTTTAATCACTATGTATTTTGTAGAAGGTGCTTACCGATTCCTTGTTTTTTTTGGGTTTTTTTATTAGTTCCGAATGACATTGGAATTTATGAAAAGGCGAAATTAAGAAAGACTTTTTGGAAATAATCGGCAGAAAGGTTGAAAAGAAGCCATCAAAAGTAGTTATTAGTTAATCACATATCACATGATCTCATCCCGAAATTAATTCTGGAACACGTGAATTATTTGACTCTTACGCACAACTGACCTTTTCCGAAAGATCAGAGATCAATTAAAAATGTTACAGGACCGAAAATTATGGTGATTTTCTAACCGTAGCTTAGATGTGGCACAGGTTCAAAATATAAGAGTCCCATTGAAGATGGAACTCACTACTCTGTCGTCAGAACCGAAAGTTATGAACAAAAAAAGACGTAAAATCTTCTCCGCGTTTTATTGACAGCATTTTTAAATTATTCCTCGTTCTTTTTTAAGGGAAAATTATAATAAAGTATGTCAGACATTTTTTTTAATTCTAATGTCGCAAATTAAAGTGGAGGAGTACATTCACTGTCTATAACTTTTGCTGTACTAGAGTTATCTGCCATGCACCGACGACGCCAAGTGGCAGTGGCTTCGTTATGATAACAGTAAATTGCGCCAAGATATTAATGACTAAAAACTGGAGGGATGAGAAGACTGATTCGGTGAGAAAGCAGAATTCAGCAATAATAACTGGGAAAATATATTTAAAGAGCTATATGTGAGATCTTAATAAAATACGCTGTCATTTGTTTGAAAACGCTTCGCCCGTTTGACCTTTGAAAACAGACACACACACATTAAGGCACAAACAATTTATTGTTGCATTTAAATTTGCGTTTGCTTTCATGGGCTTAATATTTTCAAAAAAATGTTGGATAATGTGTTCATATAAACTAAATCTCACGAGAGCTTAAACATTTGTGAGTGGACGTTATGTGTGTGTGAAAGAGAGAGCCTTGTAGACAGAAAACATACATATTTATTTCTACTTGTACTGAAACACATATGAGTACGCATGACACCGAAATCGTTTCTAATTTATAATATTTGGTTATAAAGCGATACTTCTATCGATATATCATTATGTATCAATCAGTCAGACTGTTTCACTCATTCTTTCTCTCTATATATCTATCTATCTATCTATCTATCTATCTATCTATCTATCTATCTTTATCTGTCTTATATATATATATATATATATATATATATATATATATATATATATATATATGTGAAGGAATATAGTTTTAACGTGTGCTATATTTATGGGATAAAGTGCTCAATATCAGAGATAGAGCGTATGTAAATATAAAAAAAAAAAGTGAACATTGTTTCAATCCCTGACGATTGCGTCCAGCGTTGTTTCACCTGTTGCCTCTGAGTGTTGACTTCAATGTTCATTTTATATATATATATATATATATATATATATATATATATATATATGTATGTATGTATGTATTATTGCTGTAATCCCCACTTTCTTATGTGTATTTTTCTGAACCTAGTTTATTATCTTTAGACGCTTAAACGAATATTTGAGCAACCTCTCACGGAAAATATTAATGTAAATTAACAGTAAAAGCAAATTAAAGTTTGTTTTGTTTTTTTACTATTAGAGATGCAAATGACATTAGAATTCATAAACAACATTTTATTTACATAGAGGGAATTTTTAAGGTCTTGAATTGTTTTTATAATTACTTTACAAGTTTTAAACGTTTTAAGTTATAAATCTAAAGTATTTATTGGAATCATTTAAGCGATATGTACTGGTGAATTATACTTTTAATGGCTTTTTCATCTTGTTTATATTGTTAGGGTGTATTTGGATGTGGTAAATCAGTTAATGATGTTTTTATTTTTGTTTATATCACGATGATTGCTTGTTATTTTATTTTAAATTCTTTAAGGCTAATTTGATTTGCACATCGAAGACATCGTTGGGGAAATTATTGTTGAGATGTGTTTGTTTATAGTACTACTCAATAAGGTATCTTGAAGAAATTATGTTTTCTTGGCAATCATTTTTTAACAACTGTTCTATATCTGTCAGGACATTCACGTTTATAATTGAGAAGACCCGCATTTTTGCATGTGGGATTTATATATTATATAGTAAAACTATGACTATTAGCGTCTACTAAAAATGGAAAAGAATTCTATTATTAATATTAAGTTCATAAGCAAAATGTAAAGGTTTTAACGTTGAACATGTCATTGATATATCAAACATAGGTATGATCAAATTATTAAACATTTTGTTTTCTACTTGAGCTATGTAAAAAAATGAATAAAATGGGACTGAGAAGAGAACTCATAGCTACACCGTCAGTCTGTACAAATGTTACTATAATGATCGTAAAAATATATTTGTATTGTGTCGGATAGAAATTTGCGTAGAATTGTTGGTCTGACATTAGGATATGGAAGCGAAGAATGCTTATATATATTTATTATTACTATATCTATAGTTTCTTTGACAAGTGCGTTGGCAAATAAAGATAGAGTATCATTAATCGATTTATTTGATTGCACTATTTTAAAAATCATTGGTGGAATTAACACTATATTTGATCTTGTAGGATCTGTTGGTTTAGTTTTTGGATAAGTGATAGCAAAAGGATGAGCCGAAAATGCAAATTACAAATCGGAGAATAAAAAATAAATATCAGGGAAGTGTTTTAATAGTGGATGGAAAGTGGGATTCTGAAATGCGAAGGCAAATTGGGATAGCAAAAGATGCTTTCCAAAAGCTAAGCAGAGTATTAAGAAACAGGAAGACTTCGTTAGAAACAAATAAAAGAGTACTAAACTGTTATGTGATATCTGCCCTCCTATGTGGTAGTGAATATCCTCACAGATGAAGAAAAGACTGGAAGCAATAGAACCGCGGTTCTACAGAAGGATGCTGAGAATACCTTAGACCGAATATGTGAGCAACGACAAACTTCTAGAGAAAATGGAAACAAAAAGGAAACTTATAATTAACATCAGGAAGAGACTGCTGAAATATCTAGGACACATAGAGAGGAAAGAGGGCTTGGAAAATCTGATACCCACTGGGCAGATTGAAGGCAAAGGACAGAGGAAAACATGGCATAGCATACTTAGTGAGCTTGACTAAATGGATAGCGGAATAAGGTTTATGAGAAATAAGAAAAAGATAAAATTTATTAAGAGCTACAAAGGACAGGAAGTTGTGGAGAGCCATGATCGCCTACATCCTCAGGGGACACGGTACATGAAGAATATACTTGTGGATTTATGAGACGTAGCCTCAAGCAAAAGGTAATTGTAGTAATACTTACCTACAGTTTTGTTTTGTTTGATGGATCCTACTTCAGCGTTATTAGCTGTGATAAACTTATTTATCTGTGTCTCGAAGGGTTTCTGATGTTTTTGTTTCTTTTCTTTTGTTTTGTTTTTTTTAATTTAGGTTTAATTAAAACGTCACCATCTTCCTTTCTTCGGCATGAGGTGGGTGATTTTTTGGAAGTGGGTGATAAATTAAGAAGACAGCAAAGGTGCAAAGAAAAACGTGAAGGGACAGAAGCAGAGAAGGAAATATGGAAGAAGAATGCCAAAGAAAAAAGGCTTGGTAGGGTAAATACAGGGGGGGATGGGTAATTATAAAGAAACGGCCCCAAGGGGAATGTCTTCACGTACACAGTTATTCATTACTTTGGTTACATTATCGACCAGCGCGGCAAGTATGATAATGAACGAATATTACACACCAAAAGGCAGGAGATCCGACGTGCTTTATACCGTCTCGACCACAGAGTGATTAAGAAAAATTGAATAATGCCTGCCAGGACGCGGGTTCGAATCCTGCCAGAGACCGCTTATTTTCTTTTAATAATATTTCTCGAATATTCAGGCCGGTAGACGAAAATAAATATATTGTTTAATAAATAAACGGAGTGTCTACTCAAATAATGGGTATCCACTAAAAATAACATTTAATTAAAAAAATCTCTTGGATTAGTAAATAAAAATATATTACTTTTTTAAAAATTGCCATATATATATATATATATATATATATATATATATATATATATATATATATAGTATTAGTAATTAGCATGGATATTTCCAAAAGAATTTTGTTTTTATAAAATTATTAACTTTAAGGTTTTTCAAGTCTTCTTGATAATCTTTTGTTTTAGATTTAACTAATGAAATAAATTATTATTTCATGAAGTTTTAGTGTATGTGCCTTTTATAAGAATAAATAAACACACACACACGCACACACACACACACACACACACACACATACATATATATATATATATATATATATATATATATATATATATATATATTGATTGCAATATATATATAAGACTTGTCTCATTAAATAATTTAGACAAGTTTCGTCTACTTATTTTTAATAGGTTCCAAATTACTCAGAATATTAGCAATATATATATATATATATATATATATATATATATATATATATATATGAGATAACGATATATATTTTATATATGAAAAACAATATGTATGACGAATTTCGGTGAAGTCTTAAAGGACGAAACGTTTCACAAGAAAACTTTTGTCACTTTATTATACATTTTTACCCATATATATCTATATGTGCGTGCGTGCGTGTGTGTGTGTGTGTGTGTGTGTAAACGCATGAAAATCATTATTTTCAATTATCTAAGATCCTTATTTAAAATTATCAAAAGTAAACCAATGAGAATTTTATTAAAAATAAAGCGATGTTTATGTAATCAAAAAATTTTAAAATAAACTCTGAACGTTTTAATTTTTTTTAATTCCGAGAACGCTGTTGTTACATCTTCTGATTTTAATCCCTCCTCATTGCCGACCTTCTTTGCCACCCGTCTACAAATATTCGAAGAAACTTTCTTTTTTTAATTGTCAAGTCTTCAGCTCAAACCATCGTTAAAAAAATAAACACCCAAATCCTCCAAAATGGTAATTCTCCCCAAAATGGTTTCTATCAACTATGATGGGAGCATTTAGGAAGTTTATATAAATTATATTATTTAGCCACCCCCCTCCCCAACACACACAATTTTAAAAAATTTTGGCGTCCCTTACTTGAAGGCCTTTGACACTTGGTGTAATAGGATGATAGTTCTATTACGTCTGAGTAGTGAATTCGATCCCCACTAGTTAGCTTATTTTTTCGGCTTTGTGCTATACTTAGAAAACCAGCATGCCTGAAGGAGTTCTTTTATTATTTATGTGTAACCTGTTATTGTCTGCTTGTCATAATTTATTTCATTTCAATTCTAGCAACTTCTTGTCTCTTAGAACCGTTACTGCATGGAAGTGTCGGAGAATGAAAGCAAACGATCAAAATGGAAAGAATAAACAACAAAAATAAAGAATAAAGAAAAGATGTTGACAATGAATAGACTTTCAAGTGTAAAAGTTGAATCTTCAATTATTTCACCTTTCAAGAGAGTAACAGGTTAAAAAAAAAAACGTATTGTTTAACGGTGAAATTAACGCTCACAAAAGTACTGGAAAATCCCACGGGTTTTCCCTGTAAAAATAGAAAGAAAGAAACCGGATAAGATTAAATGGCTTGATGGAGTTGCATATTTAACACCATTGTCAGTGCTTGATTGTCTGAGTCAGGATTTCTCAGCAAAAATCGAGATGGAAATTAATTAAAGGAATTATTATTACTTTATTGTTATCACAATAATTCATGCTAAACAAAAATTTATTTAACACTATATGAATTGTGTCGTGGTTTTTTACTCAAAGTAAATATTAAATATTATGTATTCCGTTTTTGTAAATTGTCACTAATTATTTTATGTTTTAAGCCGCAAATTTCGAACTTATTTTTCAATCATAAAAGAATGTCAATTGTTGAAATAAACCCAAATTAAAACAAATTGAATGGCAATGATAATTGGCAATAGTAAATTAATACAACGACGGGCATTTTATTTTATATATTTATTATGAAGAATATTCATCCAATACAATGCCCAAGAGTCACTCAAGCTAGAGTGTTACTGAATTAGATTTTATTGATTGATTCATTTTTACGGCTTATCAACCTATTGCGGGTTATTTAAAGCCAGAAAATAATTTTTTATATTGTAAGAATTTGGTGGGGGGGATAATAACGGTTTAGTGATACAAGTATCACTAATTAACCCATAGCTAGGGGAGAAGTGGATTCATACCTTTACCAAGAGTATTTGTGCGAAAGTGAATATAACGAACCCAACTGGAATTGAAACTTAGCTTTCCAATTAACAATTCCGAGTCATTATTCATTACACACCCGCATACCCAAGTTTACCCTAGTATTCCCAATAAGTCACCCGTCTAGGTACTGACCAGGCTCGATGTTGCTTAACTTCGGTGATCTTACGGGAACAAAAAGCTACAACGGGATATGGCCGTAATCCTACTGAAATAGGTATGTGCTATGGATGTAGAAGGCTCGAGTACTAAGTGAAGATTATGAGAATAAGGAAAATAAATAACGATTGACGGTGGAACGGAACAGGTTAAGATTGTAGTGTTCGGGAAAGTATCGGCGCGGGAGTCTATTCAACAATGTGGCGGTTCTTGGTAAGAAGCTGTCTAAGTAGAATTTTCTTCAGTATTTACATTAGTCGGACTATTGTCCTCATCTTTGTCGCCATATTTGTCACAACGTTTCGGCCGTTGTACGCTCCGGCCTTCTTCAGGTGGTTGGAATTTTCTTCTTTCAAATACGAAGAGGGTGAGAGTGACTCGACCTTGTGGATGTAGCGAGTCAGCTGTGAAAGTTTGGTGGGGAGCCATGGAAAAAGCGACAGAGCAGTGATAGGTTTGCAACGCTACTCATGTGGGAAATGAATATGATAGAAAATAAGACACCCTGCTCCTCACAAGACCGTGCAAACGATTTTGAACTATGTCATGACTGGACAGTGATGACTAGCCAACTCCATACCATATATGAGACATACTTTCATCTCTCCCCTCCTTCAGCAATGGGTTAAATAATAGCGTAGACTTAGGTGACAACCAGTCGAGGAGAACAACAACAATGAATTCAAAATTGTGAAAAAGGCCAAGACAAACCACACCCTTTTCATTCCCAAGAAGTCATAGCAATTCACAGATAATAAAGAAAAGGAAACTGTGGAGAGCTATGATCACCTACGTCCTGAAAGGAGATGGTATTAAAAACATCTTTATCGACAGACATAGTATACAGAAAGGTTATCAAAAATGTTTCTCGTGTAAAATTATCAAATAATCTACAGTAACAAATTCTAATCGTCGTAGAACAACTTCTTGAATTTAAAAACAAAATATCTTAAGTACTTTATCAATCGCAATTTATAACTCTCTTTAGAACTTTTTTCCAAATGATAGTGTCGCGTGTGCATGAATGGAAAGGGTTTTAATTTTATGCCTCCAGCTACATTTGTCCCTCAAACAATATTTGGTGGACTCATGTGAGTCCAGGTAAAAAAAAACACAACACATGGAATTCAAACAAACAACAATTAATAAATGTATTAAGTTACAGAAGGATAAAGAAAGAAACAAAATCGAAGCTATAAACAATTCACTATAATCTTGAGTCTATGTCTCTGAAGTTCTTACATGCCTTGTGCCTATCGGAGCGAAAAGAAACGGTGTTGCCGCTCCAAAAGTCGAAAGAAAAAGAAGAGCCTTTCGAATATCACTCTGTCTGTGACTGTCGTCAGGGGGCGGCAATCCAACAATAGAAATAAAGAAAATTGAACCTTCCGTAGTTTAGATGTTAAAATTCAAATGAATACAAGACATATTCCATGTATCACGCATGAATAAAGATCCAAAATGGATTGTGTGATTTGTTTTTTAACGGTTCATCAACCCTTTGTGGGTCATTTAAAGCCAAAACTTATTTCGGATTGTAGGACGTTGCTTACAGTACCCGGTGTTCTTAAGCAGTCCCTCAGCTAAATATTGACCGGTCTTGATGCTGATTAACTTTGCTGATCGACTCCCGAAATGAAAATAGATATTACAGGAGGTTCTGGGTTAACATTTAAGAATCTTTCTAAAAATCCGTAATTATAAAAATGTCTAATTGCTTGAAAAACAACTAAAACAAGCAAAAATCCCTGATGTGACCTAGGTACCTCCAAAGATTCGTTAAAAAATTAGCATACATGATAAAAAATACCTCAAATTTTATAAAAACTAACTTTTATCGTCAAAATCTTTTTTTATTATTAATTAAATCTTTTTCTTAAGACAATAGTGTTCATAATATATCTTATTCATAAAAAAACAATTAAAAACTTTCTAAGGTTTTTGGAAGAATAATGAATTTTTCAAGAATTGTTTTCAATTAATTAGAATGATTTATAAACTTTTAAATCGTTTAAAATTTTGTATTAATTTTTAGTGGTTAGCTGATATTGTTATTAAGCAAAAAGTATATTTAATAATAATAACTGGAAAGGCTTACTACAGTTCAGCGATCTCCAGTATGTTAAAAATACCTCCAATCACGGTGAAAACACCGGTTCTCGTTCGATCACCGAAGTTAAGCATCGTAGAGCCATGTCAGTACTTAGATGGGGGACCGCTTGGAAACACCTGGTACTGTAAGCCCCCAAAGTCCAACCCTTACCTCACAGTCGGTGGGGGGGTGTAAAAGGTAGTGTCAGAGCTATGCCGCCCGGAACTTCGTTCCTGGTAGGGCCACCAAGGCGGACAGGTCTGACACACACGCCGGCTAACAAGGGCTCTGGTGAAAATCCAAGGAGCGTCTGCATCGGTAACCGGCGGCTTCTGGTCGTTCCTGTCTCTGCGTCTGTGGGAACCCCGCGGCAAGCAAGAACGTTATCCGAGTAGGCCTGGGTACCCTACTTCTGTAATTTATCCCAAGAATCTTCTTCTCATAACAGGAAGAAGCCGGCTCAATCCGCCCAGGGTGAATGCCGCATCAGTACAGTAGTACAGTACAGTAGTATGTTAAAAAGAATTTTAAAATATTTTTTGTGTGCATAAGGTGATCCCTATATGACATCATCAGAAAATAAGAGCGGTAACTATAGTAAAATTAAAGCCAAAGTACCTAAAATTCAATAAAATATTAGATTACTTTAAATTTTTAAGATTACTGGCGAGTTAAAAAAATTATATAAAAAAGAAGCTCACGTTATATAGTAATTTTTACAGATATTTCCACTGTAGAAAAATTTCAAAACATAAGTTTATCGAGATAATTGTGATAAAAAAGGTTTTCTGCGATATTTTAAACTAAAAGTAATATTTGTTTTAAATCAGATTAATTAAAGTTTAAATCAGCTAATCTTCCTCAGGTAAAGTTTCAGAAAAGTATATTTTATTTTAGAAATATTTTTTGTTCTGACAGATTTGTAAATATGGCTAAAAATCAATCATTTTCAGCAATTACAAAAAATCATTCAGTTCAATTTAAATTCTGTTTGAAATTCAGCAATGTTTTTTCTCAATGGACAGATTGAATTGATTTTAATTTCAAGCTAATGCATGAAATTTTAAAAATAAAATAAAAGCCTCAAGAAAGATTTTTCACTTTTTTAAATTAATTTTATTACTTTAGTTATCACTTTACTGTGGAGGTACCTACATCATCAAATGAAACTTGAAGCTATAAAAAGATTTTGTTTTCTTCGCTTACACTATACCACTGAATTCACACACATACACACACATATACTTTTCTCTGTCAGTACGTAAACGCGTTTCTTCTTTTTTCGCCTCAGAGTGCGCATGTGCGCACGTGTGCGTCTACGGACACCTTGCTTTTCCTTCATTTTTCTTCTCTCCATTTTTTTACCTCTTACTAACGTAAACACACGCACTTACAAAAATAAATAAGTACCGCCCATTTGCTATTGTAATTTACTATTCGCTCCCGGCTACGATTCCTACAAATGGTTTTATGATATCAGTCTCTTTCAGTAAGGATGCAACTATCAATGGACATTGATCAGCTGACAGCCTGTTAGAGGACAACAACAAAAAATCCTCTGTATGAGAGCCGCGATTTAAAAATGAACACAACGGTGTAAAGACAATTTTCTAGAATTATACGCGTATATTCACACACACATACGAATTCTTCTTTCATCAATTTATCATCAATTAAGCCTTAAAACAAATATTATTTGAACGCCTTGCTTATTTTCGTGTTCAAAAATAATTTGGTGGCGATTCTAATACACAGGATTAGTTTACCTATTATTTATTTTTTTTTATTTATATAATTTTTGTAAGCGAGGAGGAAGGGAACGAGTCGCGTGTCTGATGGGATTTATTATGAACGACAACACTAAATAATTACTACAACGTCATGGTCAGAGTATCTGTCGACTTAACACTGTTACCATTTTATTAGTTATGGTTGATTTGGTTGATGATTATTACATCTGTTCGTGTCCCATTTACAGTCTGTATATACGTCTCGTCAGGTAAGTAAAATATTCAATCGCTACTTTTATTCTGCAAAATTCTTATTCTCTCTCTCTCTCTCTCTCTCTCTCTCTCTCTCTCTTTTCTTCCTTTCTGTCTTCATATATCTTTCCCTCTCACTCTTATTCTATCTGTATCTCAAACTATCTATCTCACTTTGTTCATATCTATCTATCTATCTATCTATCTATCTATCTATCTATCTATCTATCTATCTATCTGTCTGTCTAAGCCTGTACATATTTATCTATCTCAATCTGTACATATCTATCTATCTATCTATCTATCTATCTATCTATCTATCTATCTATCTGTCTGAACCTGTACATATTTATCTATCTCAATCTGTACATATCTATCTATCTATCTATCTATCTATCTATCTATCTATCTATCTATCTATCTATGTTAGTCTGTTCATTCTATTTTGTAACTTTGTGTTTCTGGCATTTCTTTACTGACTCTCGTTACTGTCAGTGAATTCACGTGCAGGTTAAATCTGCCATCCCTCACCATACATATTAATCTTTCACTGACAGATTTTAAAATTCTTTCATTTCATCGATAGATTTGATTCAAAATTGGCAATCTGAAGTATTTATAATTGCATCTCTATCCTTCCATATCAACCCATTTTTGACAGATCATTTTATTGTTTATCCGATCAGTTAAAGTATTTCTCTCTGTATCTACTAGCAATCTAATGTTTCGTATTTAATACGAGCTTTTGCCATATTTTAAATGCCAAACTCTAACTACAGAACTAAGCTTATGTCAGTAAGTTGATAAATAAATGTGACTTAGTTCATTTCAAATAGTTTTACTTACACAAAAGCACTGTGTTGAGTCGTAACATATATCTCAACCTCCAAAAAAACGAGAATATTACAAAGAAGGAAAAATTAGATAAATTTAGAATGAGTTACTAAGGTGAGTTATTCCTATTTGACCCAAAATAAAGGGATTAAATCTCTGATTTTCATTTCTGAGTAACCGAATAATTCCCTATCAGTGAATTAGAAGTAATTCGCTTTTTCATTGTTAGCTTCAGTGTTTACGTAATGTCGTTTTTTGTTGCAGAATATTTAAGTTTATGCATGGCTATTTTCAAGTGAAACGATTATATTTCAGAATCATAAAAAAACAAATTAATCCGTGTACATTTGTGTACACATTTTTATATCCGTACACACACTACACACAACACATTGTCGCTGAAATATGCTTTTCTTTAACATTTCATACAAAAAGATTCTGTCATGATTTTTGTTTCATGTACATCAAAGAAATCTTAAATGTAAATCTTCAATTGACAATGAAAGCATTGTAACAACCACAATAAAATGATTCTAATGACCAAATCATGTATTGTAATTTGTAACCATACACATTCGAAGCAATTTCCCTCGGTTACTTTTAGTACTGAAAAAAAATGACACGTCTTTTCACGATTAAGAAGCCGATAGTACTAGTTTTTATCCCAAATCCTAATTGCATATCACTGAATTTATTTATTTCCACTGCACATATGCAAAAAAAGAAGAAATATCATAAACACTGACTTAACCGCATATTTTAACATTTTTTCGCCACATGCGCAAGTGATTTTACATTTGTTTCTTTTCTATGTCTTATCAACCTTTTTTGTGGGTTATTTAAAGCCAGAAAAAAAATATAAGATTGTAACATTTTTTTTTTTTTTGAGATAATAAAATTCCTTCAACTGGTAGAGGTTTTACAAATTAACCGGGGGTGGGGAGAAGTGAACCCATACCTTTCTCACTCCGAGTGGAATTGGGACTCGTTTCTTCGATTAACAACTCCGTGTCACTGTCATATTACACAACCCGCGCATCAATTAGCATTCCGAAGCAGTCACCCATGTCGGTACTGGCCACGCTCGACGTTGCTTAACATTTTTCTTATTTTAATAAACGAGTGTACTTGATTATTCCGAACACTAAGTACAGAATCTTTGTCACGAAAAAGTAATCCTAATTCACAATATCATAAAAAATGGCAGTTTTATACGTAATAGTTGTCTCTTTGTACAAACAAAATTGTTGTTCCTTCGTACAAACAAAAAACATGCATAAGAAAAATACTGTTCGTTACAATTGTTGGTTTCCGGACACTTAACAACAATTTTAGTTTACCACGAAACACTTCTTCAGAGGCGTCAGCATATTCTTGGTATAACTACAGCAACATCCCTCTCTATCAGAATATATAACTCATAGCACTTACTCAGACATGCTTTTCTCAAACAAACATTTGACATTGTTTCACGTTTAAAAGTAGAATTAATCATAGATTTATATTTAAAAAAAGAAAGATTTTTTAACACAACAAAGACTTTAAATTAAAAATATACTTCTTATTTCTGGCTTCAAACAAGACAGGACTGAAAAATTCTCGGATCTATCCACTCCCTAAAATCTGACTAAATGACCAAACATCAGAATTTGTTTTGAAATCCCCCTTAGTTAGGCTGATAACTTACAGCATCCCTTCTTAGTGAGGCTGAAAACTTTTCAGCATCCCCTCGTAAAATGTAAGTTAAAATCTCTCTACTTTCCATTAAGTATCGTTTATCAACCTATCGTAAGTGATTGATCCTAGCCAAAAGTTCTTTACATAATTTTCTTTTTAATATCAGATCGTGTTAATGAACCAGCATCTAGGCAAGGCTTAAAGCAAATCATTTGTTTTCCACATTAACTGCGATTAATCATACATATACATATTCGTTTTTCTCAAAATATGTACATTTTGTTTTATGCTAAGAATCGCGTGAGAAAGGCCCGTAAATAAAAAATAATAAAGTGTTCAAAAATTCTAACTTTGAAAGTAAGACGCTGCACCGATTGCATCGCAATAGATTGAAAAAGAGGAAGTTAATCTAGCGACGGAAAAGAATGCTAAACTTAAAAGGACATCGTCATCTACCATTAATGATTAATATAATGATCCTGTTAAAAATTACCTGAAATTTACTGATACTGAAATAGATCTGAAAAAGCCGAATTTATTTTTAAAAGCCGGGAAAATTACCGCTATAGACGGATATGACGGAATTCCCCGCATTTATTTACAAAGGAATGTTGAACGCTTATTGTTATATATGAACACGTGGAAAGATATTAATAAATAATTCACTGTCAACTGCAGTTGTCTAAAAAAAACAAAAAAAACGTAAGCTTACATACGTGTAAACTATTGGAAACGCAGACGCACTGTACCCACCTCATTGCACTAGAGAGCGTGGACCGGTAGTCATATACCGATGCCAATGCAACCGGTGGTTGGTTGCTGGGGCTGGACAATTTTTGGGCCCTGGCCCGGGTGTACGCGCTCTGGTTAACCACAGAAAAAAACCCGACTTTGTGTTACATCACGTCTCAGTAGGGAGACGGGATAAATATCATACGTATACACACACTCAATGCTTATCCATTATGTATTGTGTGCTGTTTTCAGACAATTTCATTCCGCATCTCTACAAACAAAAATATTAAACTACTTAACGGTAAAGAGTAATAATAAACTTTATCATTTATCGACACATACCCAACAGCATGGCTGACTGCATCTGGCTTGCAAGCCATTGTGCAAGCGACTGACGATGATCCTTACTGATTACGCCATAACACTCACTTTGCACTAGGATTAAGATAAGATCTAGTCTCAGTCATACTGCTATGGCTGCAATAAATGTGGCGCCCCAGTGACCCTAATGGGTTACTGGCCACGTAACAGGGCGTGACTTCTTTTTTATGTGCCGTGTCCCCTCAGGGCGTAGGCGATCATGGCTCTCCACAACTTCCTGTCTCTTGCAGCTCTTAATAAATATTGTCTTTCTGTTATTTCACCTAAACCCTGCTCTGCTATCCATTTACTCAAGCTCACTAAGAAGGTTATGCATTGTTTTCCTCTGCCCCTCTTGCCTTCAATCTGTCCTATGAGTATCAGATTCTCCAAGCCCTCCTTCCTCATTATATACCCTAAAAATAATCAGCTGTCTCTTCCTGGTGTTAATTATAAGTTTCCTTTTTGATTCCATTTTCTCTCAAATTTTGTTGTTGGTCACATATTATCGAACCAAGGCATACTCAGCATTCTTCTGTAGAACCAAATGTTTTGTTGCTTCAAGTCACTTCTTCATCTTTGAGGAAATTGTACAAACACTCACTGCCATACAAGAGGGCAGATATCACGTAACAGTTTACTGCCCTTTTCCTTGTTTCTAACGAAGTTTTTTTTTCTATCTAAATAACCATAAAACCAACAACATAAATAACTCCTACTTCGTTTGCAAAAACTTCTTTGTAGAAAAATCTCTTCAACATTGTCAATCAAAAATTCCTCTTAAAAGTCGATTCCTGTATTAATTTTCATTTATAAACACTGATTAAGAAGTCACAAAAGCGGTCAGAGTAATTTGCTACAAGCTTCGGTTTATTTTGTTTGTTGTTTTTTCTTTTGTTTTTTTTTTGTTTGTTTTTCTGACAATGGGGTTCAGTGGTAGAGCGAAGGATTTCGACTTCATTTCTAGTACTGCTGATCCAATTATACACACCATCACAAGTCCACCAAGTCGAAAAAACTTTGATTTGAAAATGGGTTTCACTTTTTCGGGTAGGTAAAACAAAAAAGTTAAAATTATCCCTAGTAGATGATCGAGTTATCACCGTGACATTTGTTGAGGCATAAAAGGTCATTTGTTAGTGACCAGCGCCTCACCAATAAGTTGAATTGGGTTACATAGTGGCTGACTTTTAATCATTTTACTTCAAGCAAGGCGATAAAAGCTACTAAGATGCACTGAATGTAGAAGAAACAGAGAAGACAATAAAAGAACAGGATCCAAAGAGACAGAAGATGACGATTGACATTGCATTTAGATATTTGAAAATCGTAATTAACAAGAAAGCGGGAAGACAGAAGAGAGTTCCGCAAGCGAGAAGCGTCGGGGAATAAACTATTAGCATAGAACTTACGGTTATAACTAATGATTTCAACAGTGAAATTATGAGACCTAACTGCCAATCTAGTATTGCGTTCAAATTCATAAAGTCGATGTAGCAAATAAGAAAGTTGATCATAACAATTAATGTGAAAATATTTATAGAAAAAGTCACAAAGAAGCTACGTTACGGCGGTTGAGAAATTAATTGTAGCCGAGATGCTAGGGTGAGGATCGATAACTTTGCCGACTCTTCTTTGGATTTTGTCAAGAATATATATTATATATATATATATATATATATATATATATATATATATATATATATATATATATATATATAGCAGAGGCAACAAACCAGTTGTGACAACATTATTCGCTGTAAGGATGAATGATAGATTCACCGCTACGATGTAGGGGTGAATCTAAGGGTAGATTAAATATATAAGATAGATTTTGGCGAGAAAAATTGTCTAACGCGATATAGTGAATCGATTTTCCTAGCAGCAGACTTAGTAAGTGATTCAAGAAAATCTTTCCGATTCATGTCAGTGGAAAACGCGAGAAGAAGAAAAAAAACATGCTTTGCTCTCCTGGAGGTTAGCATCAGTCATTCAGCTGGGAGGCAAAAAGAAAAAAAAAACTCTTGGCAAAGATGCTTTTATACATTTCCCAAAAATATTAGTGTAAAATGAATGCAAACTACCATAACCGGAATTTGAACTCAGTTTACTGATTACCATTTTGCAGGTTGTTAACCTTTTAATCACTTGCTATGGTTAACTTAATATGCATTAAATTAATAATGCAATTGTATTTATGGTCCGTATTTCATAACAGTTGATTCAAGTGTTAGAACTGACTGACTGTTGTGTGCCAATTTCTCTGTCTGTGGACATCGGTGAGGAAATTCCTAATGAAGAATTAATGCTTGATAATTACCATAATGGGAAACTACATTGAATTCTGCACATTACCCACAGAATTTTTCTACCCATCTGTTTATATATTAAGTTGATTTGGTTGATTGGTGGAAAGATTTTTACCATTCCATGATTTGGGTCAGGTGACTATCTTTCTTGCTTTTATCATAATTTTTTTTTTTTAAATTTCAAGTAATTGTTATAAAAAGTTACTAAATGTGGTTGATATTCATTGCAGCACCTCCGCGTCCATGGCACTATAGGGGAGATGGGGGTGCTTCAGCCCCTCAATTTTAGAAATATTATCTTCTAAAACCTCTATATAAGTCTTATATGCAGAAAAAGTCTATAGGTCTTATTCCAGAAAATAAGTACAATCGAATAGCAAAAATTATGTAGAATTAAAATAAAAAATAAAGAAAGAAAAATTAAGAAAAAACGTTTACAGTAGGAAATTAGATATAAATAATTATTCATTTTATGAGTGAATCAGATAAAAAATATATATTTAAAACTAAACATCAGACTTATCCCTCCTCCATTTTTTTTTTATTTTCTGGCAGAGTAGATTTTACCAATACACAAATTTTAAAATAGTTTAACCTGTGGATTATGAAAAGTTCGTTAGGATTATGAACCATGAAATATTATCTTTAATCTCGACCCGAACACCACACATTCCAGTTCTGGTAAATAAATTTTATGTTTATAACAAAAAAAAATATCTGAAACTAAGTTTTATGATTATAACAAACCAAAATTAACGCCTTGTTTTATAAATAAATTCTCATTAGAATAGGAAGATAAACTGAATGAACCTGAAAGGGGAAATGGTACTTTCAACGCGTGACAGCAACAATACATTTACTTTAATGGGCAGAACAATAACAACGAACAATAAAGAACTGCAAAATAACTGTAATTGGAATGCAATTATAATTTATTCTATTTCTCCAGCCCAATTTGGTCAGGAATTGTTGACGTCAAAAGAGTTCACATTTTATACTTTTACTCATTCAACTTTACAAATATTATGTAATTCTATTCTTGGTGTCGACTAAAAGGTTATATACAGATCTGTCGCTCTAAGGTTTCTAGTTAGCGGCTGTATATACATATACAAAATTCCTGTATTTACATATGTGTGTGTGTGTGTGTGTGTGTGTGTGTGTGTGTGTGTGTGTGTGTGTGTGTGTGTGTGTGTGTGTGTGTGTGTGTATTGAATAAACAAAGAAGTCTGTTCGGGTTATTAAAACTCTTTAAAACTAAATACTGTCCTTTTTTTTGTGTCTTTTACATTCTTCCAGGGACATTTTTTTACATTAAGATAATTCTGTAAAAACCAGAATAAATGGTAATCCGAATGTGCAAAATGTGCTCAATATGGCGGATAAGTGAAAACCAATCAAATTGAATCAAATTTTGCCTGATCAATAACGATCCAGCGTTATTCGAATGCTTTTTTATCTATTGCTAAATTTAGTTTAGGAACACTTCTTGTTCGAAACAATCGTTTGCTTCTCTCAAAAAAGCTCAAGGGAGAGAACTCTCTCCAAGTTCGACATATACGTCATCTTTGGATGAAATCAGCCTTTGATTCGGCGGGTTGTGGTTTATTTTGCTTTCCCAACGATTTCTTGAGCTTTGTCTTCTTTCTTTCCTTCTTTCCTTCTTTCTTTCCTTCTTTCTTTTCTTTCTTTCTTTCTTTCTTTCTTTCTTTCTTGCTTACTTGCTTGCTTACTTGCTTGCTTTCTGGCTTTCTTTCTTGCTTTCTTTCTAAAAGTATTAAATTTAGACAAGAAAAACAGAGCACAATACGTTTTTGGTGTTTTCTTGATACAAGTCAATTGCAAGAGGAGCTCGTATGGGAAAGAGAGAAATAAGCGATCAAGTAAAAGAGAGAGAAATGTAAGATAAATTGAGAGAGAGACAACAACAAAAAATACAGAGAGAGAAAAATAAGAGAGAGAAAAAAATGAGAGATCAAATGAGAGAACGAAATGGGAGGTCATATGAAAGAGAGAGAAATGGGAGATAAAATGAGAGAGAGAGAGAGAGAGAAATCAAATGAGAGAGACAGACAGAGGCGGGGAGATCAAATATGAGATCAAATGAGAAATGTTTTTGCCTTTTTACTCTCTTGTCTGCAAATTAAACTCTTGGAGTCAAGCTAAATGCAGAATGGTCGACTTGGACCGACTTAACAAACACAGCCAAAGGGACATTTTAATAAACAAATTCAATGCAATCCGTGCCATTTTATCTAAGCCTTAAGAATCAGGGTTTTTCTCTATATAAAATGTAACATGGGCTCGCATACACCTTCATGTGTTAATGGCGAACAAGTGTGCGATGATAAAAATCTTGCAAACTGATGATTTATTTATATCACTTTATCTCTTTCAGGAAAATGCGTTCTCTTTTAGACTAACTATCTATTTTGGGAATATCACTAGCTTTTTATTCATCTATTTGCATCTCTGTGGAACACAGCTTTTGTGGGCCTCAGAGACACCATTAGGAAATCTGAAAAAGAAATTTTTATGCTGGTAAGAAACTCAACTTTAGAAGCTTTGTTTTTAGCGTTTAACACATTCAATATGTGAAATTGCTTTTTCTTGCGTCTTTTATGTTACAAACATAAAAAATAAATATAAAAATATATTGTTTAACTGACACCTTTGTACATTTGATTGTAGGATGCTAATTTCAGTAGCATTTATTTTTTTAGAATTGTAATTTTCTTTCTAATCAGTTCTTTTAAATCAATTAAGAGGGGGAATATATTTAAATCAATTAAGAGGGGGAATATATTTCGGTAAAATCATTTTTTATTCCGAGATCATCCACTAAGGAGGATCTCTGTATTTTTTTTGTTTGTTTTTTGTTTTTGTTTTTTTACTAATAGTAATATTAATACTATTACTATTACTATAATACTATTAATACTAATAATAGTAATACTAACCAGAAGTTCACAGCTAGTAATTAAAATAAAATTTTTAGTCCCTATTTCTTACATTTCTAGAAAAATAAAACTGAGAAAATGATCGCTTAAAAAATAAAAATGTTTAAAGATTTCGACACATGAAATACTGTTTTTAAAACAAATTTTTAAGACAATCCCGTTTATGTTGTGTTGGAATGTCTGTAATTTTTTTTCAACGGAGATGCGTCGGCGATTAATCTTTATGGAAATGTAAAAGTATGCGACTTAAACATTTTTTAATTTTTTCGAGTAAAATTTCCTCATGAAAATGTTGGTGGTTATTACAAAAAGAATAACATTTTCTCAGTTATTTTTTTAAAAATAAATATAGCTATTTATTATAAAAGTAAATAATTAATGAATATATACTGAAATTTTCATTTAAATTGGATAATTCCTTGATTTTTGCTAATTTAAAAAAATGCGCTGCCCTTCCCGTGCCAATTTTCCTTCAAGGGTTTGTGGCCCCCAGTTTGGGAAATTTTGACGTTTCGGGGTGGGAGCCGACACTCTTGCGCCGGCTCTGCGTATTACAATTAGACAACGACTAAGCTTCACATTATAACATTTAGTAAACTAAAAGCATAAATGTATATATTAAAAAGTCTACTACAAGTTTGCAGTTAAAAATGTGTCGTTTTATACAAATCTATGAAGTGTATTATAATTCCACGATGATATTCCCTTCTGTCTGGAATGTATATTAATAATTGAATATATTCATGTATGTCTACGTACGTGAAAGAAAGAAGACAATGTTTGTGGACCGTTGCTAATTCTTTAAGTCTTTCTAAATAGCTTAATTATATACCTTATTCATCTGTTCGTCTCTCTACTTTCGTCTTTCAATCCCATTGTTGAATCTCACCTGGAGCAACTCCATCCAAATGTTGTTGTTTTTGATTTCCCGATTTTTAATGTTGAATTGTACATTAGTATTATTTTTATAACCCAATTTTAGCGAAATTTTATTGCATTATTTGCAACATTAATTCATATAAAACATTTTTCAGAAATGCCGAATACTAAGTTTTTGTCTTATCCTAACCAAGCATTAAGTGAGTGTTGACCTTGTCCAGAAAAAAAAGGAACTAATTTTTCGGGATTAAAATAATCCAATTCATTAAATGCGATCGTGATAAAAAAATTGCAACAAACATTCTTAAAACTTGTTCTACACTACGTTAAATTAATATAAAAAAGAATCAAGAAATTTATAGGACTAAGACTATATATTGGAATCCAATATATAGTTTTTGTCCTATAATTTTTTTGATTTTGATGGAATTGTCGCCATTTTATATTTTTAATTTCAAGTTGCGTATTGTTTGTTTTTGATTTTGTTCATTGCACAGTATAGTAGGGTCAGTTGGGCACCGTTTGTGAGAAAAAGAGCAAAACATGATGCAGAAATTTAGAAACGGCATGCTGTACCGCTTGGCGTTCGCACCAGAAGCTCCAATACGAACATTTCAATGTATTTAGGCGTCAATCTGAGAACAATGCTGAAGATTCGGAAAGAGTTGGATGAGTCTAAAGGTGATTAAGAAGGTATTGTAGCTCGGAAAACTCACTCTGACCGTTTTGATAAGAAAAGACCTCTCGAAGTTGTTGGTGAAGGCCTCAGACTCAACACAGTGGCCTACATCAAGTTCCTTGAGGAGGTAATACTGTAATGGGTCATTGTAACACCAAAAATGAACTGAACGCAATGATTATGACAGCATTCACCAACTTAAACAAAGAGACTCTCCAGAAGAGTTGCAGGAGATTCCAAAGTCGTCTGGAGGCCGTGGCTGAAACCCTATAGCAATTTTATTGAATAAATTTACTCTTTAGTATTTCAAGATATTTTTGTGTAATTTTAGAAAATATATCTGTTAAAATGAGATGTCAGTGTTATTTTCAGTTTTGCTTAATTTAGACGACAATTTATCCATCGCTTTCTCTCACACACACACACATCTCTCTCTCTCTCTCTCTCTCTCTCTCTCTCTCTCTCTCTCTCTCTGTGCGCATTTGGTTATCTGCTGTCCTCCGGATTACTCGTTCCTCTTCCCGATCATTATTAATGTTTCTGTTCCTAATTTTTCCACACCTAGTAACCCCTTATCTTAGTGGCTTTTCTGCCTTGTTTTGAGTGAACCAAATTATATATATATATATAACTGAAATTTCACACACAGAGACATGCACATTTCCAGCAACGCCTCGTATAGAATGTGTACTATGTTATTATTCATGTCCGTAGGCGTATTGTATAACAGTATAATAAAGCTCTTACTTCAATAGCGATTCGACACATCAGGTTTTCCAAAGCTACTGTACAAAGAAATACGTTTATTAATCCTACTGCAGTTATTTTCAGCGACAAAACACCGCCCATTTTGTCTGGGGTTAAGATTTTCGTTTTATGCACTCAGTATTTCCAACCGGCGCAAATTTTATTGACAAAAGTTCTTCTGTTGAAATATCATCGGTAAAAAAATATACTATATTAATACTCCGTCGGTTTTACAAGGCATAACGTTAAGTGAACAGAATCTTTATTCTTTTATAAGTCAATACGGCAGGCAAAACCTCTACATTTGTAAGACATCATCGTTATTAACTAAATATGTGCTTACATAATTATTAACTGAAGTTCCCTTTTCTATAAATAATCTTTTTTTTTTCTGATGAACACTTACCACATTTGATTCTAGTTGACGTACGAATAAAGAACAGAATAAATCAATATAATATTAGGTCTGTGCAAAAGTTTCCCGAATTATTATTTTAAATTTCTAATTTTCTCCACCAAAAAAGAAAATGGCACAAAATAAACTCTTGGATCCTTTGCAATGTGAATAAGTCTTGTTTCATATATATATATATATATATATATATATATATATATATATATATAGTGGCATAGCAGGATTGTGTGCTGCCCCGGGTATCCTTTGAGCTCTCCACCCCAACAAAACATACTAATTGCACAGTCACGCACTGTTAAAGTTATAAAACTAGTTTCTGTACCATTATAATATTACTTTCACATAATATAGTATGCCAAACACACTTTATCAGTAACGGTTAAAAAGCAAAAACGACATATCGGGGGAAAAGTGTAAAAAAAAAAATGGTCGTTCTGAAACGAAAATTACAACTTTCTACAAAGTAACTTTTCTTGTTTTTTGTTGGCAAATTCTTCAATGACATCGCCAAAAACTATTTCATCAGTAGATAAGCCAAAATATATGCCCTAGTTATCAAAATTGAAAAGATACTTCAAGTGTGAGTACTGCTCCGCCATTAAAACCACTTTTATTTCAATACAGCCTGTACAGGATTGTAGCCTACAATAAACGCAAAAGTTGCGCTCCTATAAAGTCCCACCTTGGTATACCACCCCTCTAGCTGCGCCACTATATATATATATATATATATATATATATATATATATATATATATATATATAACTAAATGAAGCACGTAAAATACACTAGGATTTAAAGATTCAGAAGGATTACCCAATCCCGGCCATATGATCGGATTTAAAGAAAACATGTCAGCTGAACAACCCAGTAAAGCTGAAAGAAATTCTAAAAAGCGATAAGTATTTCAAACTTTTGATACTTTTGATATATGAAAGTGATAGTCGCGTCACTCATTATTAGAACACAGGGAACATAATGAGAAAGTACTAATTGCATAAGATTTTCAAATCCCTAAAGCAAATTCCAAAACAAGAACCGGGAAAGTATTTCAGAGGATGAAATCATTTCTATCTTTTGAATTTATAAAATAAAAATAGTTTCTTTTTATTGTCGCATTAATTCAATAAAATTTTGTCGTCATGTGTCCGTTCACGTTTTGTCGGGAATCTATCTATCTATCTATCTATCTATCTATATATATATATATATATATATATATATATATATATATATATATATATATATATATATATATATGTGTGTGTGTGTATATATATATATATATTGAAGACCCCCAACGGCGGAATAGGCGAAGATCTACACGATCCCAATGGCCAAACAGGCGGCAGAAGGCAGCGCCAGTCGGGCAGGCGTAACCAAGGCGGACATTGACAAACCAAGCATCCGACAGCTCGATGCAACCAGGCATCTTGCCAGATCTTGCCCGTCTCAATTCCCTCTAAACCGCGAGGAAGGCGCTTCTGACCAAGTGTGTGGTCCTCTCCGTCGCGCAGAGTTGTCCACCAAAATCAAATTCACGCGAATGGCCTCGTCAAACTCTCTTTGATTCCAAAAAGCCATCTCCACCGCCGCCACCAAGAGAGAGAAAGGAAATAGAGAGAGAGAAAGGGAATAGGAAGAGAGAAAGGGAATAGGAAGAGAGAAGAGGAATAGGAAGAGTGAGAGAGAGGGAATAGGGAAAGAGAAAGGAAATAGAGAGAGAGAATGACGATCCCGATGCTCTGGTGCGAGCGTGTGCCAATAAAAACAACATATCTTCTGTATCGTATATTTTCGTAAAATAAATTTGAACGGTTTCGTCGCAACGGCTAATAGTAGTTTTCAGCTCATTTATTTAATAGAGAGAAATTAAGCCAAATTCTGTTTATTGAAGTACTGTGTTTACAATATTTTATATCAAATAGTCTATTTACAAGAAAAACCTTGAAAGAGCTCTTCTTGAGAGTTTCAAATGCGCATGCGTCTCTGTATTTCTTTCGTGTACGTGAGGGTAACAAGAAAATTTATAAAAGGAAGTAGCACTCTTGTGTAAATGAAGAGTACCAAGGTGTACGTTTTCATTCTGTTTTTTAATGATGTCATTTTTCTCGTCTTAAATAATCCACCACTAGAAATGGCGCTCTACACATTGCGTATGATGTTATTACAATTACCACAAGTACGTGGGAATGTATGGCCAAGTATTGGTAAGTAAAAAACTTATGTGCATAGGTTGTCGAATCTTTTCGCATCGTAGCTGGTCATAACTCACTTAAACATGCGTTGTTTTAGAAAAAGAAACCTTGTTTTGGACTGAAGTAAAAGTTATATCGCCTCCAATTCATATAAAATTGTTTATGTTTAAATTAAACAGATATCTACATGCAGAGGCGCACATAGATGCACGATAGACCCATGCTTATCTTTTTTTCCAGATATAGATTTAATTAATATATAAAATAAGTAGAATAAATAAGAGTACGCTGGAGTGATGACAAAAAGGTTTATTTATCATTATTGTTTTTCTATAGACCACTTGACTAAATGAAAATTCAATGATACATTTAAATTGATGGTGACTCGAGAAAGATTGTAATTAGAAGGTAAGAAATGGTATTGCTTGTTAGTTATAATATCAAAGAAGCAATACAAGCGATAAATGATAAGGTTACTAAAATATCGTCCGAATTAATGATCGTACATAAAACATAATAGTTACGTACTTTTAGTAACCCTCGTTTCAATTTCGAACATTTTCTTGAATTTCATTGGTTGTTAAATATAAAATAAGCTTCGAGAAATTTCCATAACAAAGCAATCAAATTTTGTGCAAAAGTAAAAAAGCCGACGTAAAAAAAAAAAAAAATTCTCAAATTCATCCCTAATTTAAATGTTTCAAGAAATCCTATTGGCTAAAAAGTAAAAAATACAACATTCGCCCACGCATTTCACAGAAAAATTCGCAACAGCTACCAAGCCCCGTTGAGCCAATTTGGTTGTTAAAAAAAACTATAAATAGAAACGGCGAACGAATTTTCGTTGCAACTGAGACTCACACGCACAAAGATATATGTGGGAATTATCCTTCAGAGAGATACCGAAGAAACAAACTTCCTTTATGAGAGATTAGAAAAATTTACACAACAAAATGTTTCACTCAATATCTTTCATAGAAAAAACTTTTGTCTAAGTTAAATTCAACCTTTTAAATCAAAGGCAAAGAAGTTTTCGACATTGAACATTTCCGAAACAGCAAAGAACTTTTTCTCTTAAATATACTTTTGCACACATCATTACAAAGAAATTGTAAATTGTGTATATAAAATTTAATTTGTTGTTTCAAACAAGTATTTTTTGTCGTGATTGAATATCGTTACCATTTGGCCATTTCTTATAATTTATGTTTGTGGATATTGCATTTTTTATTTGCAGCAAAATTTAAAATATCACGCAGTCTTCCTAGATCCACTACAGACTTACCTCGGCTGATCGATCAATTCATTTGGAATTAATACACGAGTGACTGAAGTAACGACACAAAGAAATCCTTACTGTGGAAATCAATTTATTATTAACTAGACTAGAAAAAGAGACTTCTCACATCGGAGACAAATTTTCTCTCATTTCATGCATTAGCAGTTAACCATAAAGAGATATCAGCTTTTTTTTTCTACTTTAGATATCGTAACTATAGTGTCAGGAAATAATACTGAGTTACGACTTTAGAAGCAGACTTAAAATTTGACATCTCAGTCGAGCATGAGTTACGCAGAAATCATTACAAATGATACTTGCTTGTTTTTATTGCGGGAATTCGAAATAAAGATTTTGGTTCAAACAAAACTCGAACTCATGTGCTCGTCATTTATGGATGACAACTTAACCCTGTAGCCTAAAAAATGTTACGTCAAAGCAAAATTCTCCCACCTAATCAGCATTATTCCCGCAATGAAACAGCTGAAGCATAAATCAACTGAAAATGTTGTGATAAAAAGCAACAAAAAATGGTTATGAAACTAATTCGCAGTTAATAATTCATTTATGTGCCATGCGTGATAAACGCTTAAGCGATCATTTATCTTTCGATACATGACTGACGAGGAAGATTTTTTCCCCACAGTAGGTTGCCATTTCTTTCTGCGGTAGACCAGTTGCCATCCAAAGCTATAGAACCCGGTCCTGCTATTTACCCATAGCTGGCGGGGGGGGGGGGAAATTGGAATCATACCATTCCCAAGGGTGTTAGCATGGAAATGAATGCAACGGATTCGACTGGAATTCGAACTCCGATCTCTGATTCCTCAATCCGAGCCACTATCC